ACACACACACACACACACACACACACACACACACACACACACACACACAGATAAAACCCTCGGTATGGGAGGCGGTGCAGTACATACTTTGACCAGTAGAGGTCAGGCTGCAGCTGTAACCTCAGTTTGAACCCAGCCATGAAAACAGAGAGCATCTGATGGAAAAATGTTCTCYGATAACAAAAACATAAATCTGTGTGTCTGTTAGCAAAATATCTCAGGAACATCWGTACATGTTTTATTAAAGTGATCAGACATTCATCTACAGCTGATTCACTTTGGAGTCGATCCAATTCAAGATGGCTTCCAAATTCAACTGTTTAGACTGATGATATTAATGATTAAAAACAGGTCCAAATCTGTCTGTTTTCATTGTAAAGTGATAAAGCTGACAGAGCTCCTGCTGGGACAACACAACAACAGAACTTTACTTCATGTAAGCCTTTGGTTTGAACCTTGTTTTTCTGTTAAATAAGTTGTTTCTCTGCTCTGAGCTCAGCTCTAAAACCATCCTCTAAAAGTTTTTAACATCTGGACTTGAACATTCATGTGAAAAACAAGAACTKTGTGATAAAAGCACACATTCAGACCCAGTGATCCTGGTTTGTGTCTGACACAGTGGGCTTCAGTGTGAATGAAGAACAGACAGAGGAGAAAAGACGTTCTTGTTCTGACTTCTCAGGACAGATGGCCTCTGTCGTTACAGCTTCAAAGTTAATGTTTGGTCTGACAGTGCTCACATGTTGGGACCAGTCTGTGTCTGTAAAACTGGGCTGTAGCTGTTTGTGTATTTCAGCCCAGCTGGGCGTGGCGGCCATCTTGAATTGGGTTCATTAATTAGTTTAACTGATCATCCAGTAGTTATTTAGACACAGTATCAGCTCTGCAGGGCTTTCAGCATCTGAGGACTCTTACATGTTACAGAAAATATAAATCCATCTCTGAGCTTCTTCACTGGAGCAGATCTCTGCAGGTCTGATGCTGAATATAAACAACGAGTCCTGAGAGTTCAGGTGTCCGTTTGTGTCGGAGGAAGGAGACGAAWCAAAARGCTGAATGAGGGATTTTATATTAAGTGATAAATTATTGACGTTTTCCTGAGCGTGGTTACTGACAGAGCTGTGTGTGTGTGTGTGTGTGTGTGTGTGTGTGTGTGTGTGTGTGTGTGTGTG